AAATTATAAAAAAAAAAATTAACCGGCCCGGCCCGAACCGGACCCGACCTGTGACCCGGGCGGGTGGCCCGGCCCGAACCGGACCCGTCCAACCTTCGGGCCGGTCCCAGGCCCATGTCATACAACCCGGCGGCCCGACCCGGCCCGAGTCCATCAATAGTTGAAGGGAACCTGGGAAGTCGGGGGTCCAGTGGAGGGCACGCTGGGTCACGATGTTCCAAGTCCCCTGTTTTGAAAAGGGACTTGCCGGTTTTTCAAACGTTACTTGAACTCCGGTAAGCTTCATCCTCCACGGTTGGTAGCGTTTTTTGTGGCAGCATAGGGTGAGGGGGGCCCAGTTGCAGGTGTGGAACGCCGTTACTTTCGCAGTTTTGCCACGGTGCGTTTTCCTCGTTTGGCCAAGACTTGGAAGCCGGAGAGGGCAACCACCGGTGGCTTACCGTCGTGACCAGAGTCACATGCTCCCGGGGAGTTATGGTTTGGTTTTGGATTTGGTTTGGGCTGAACGGGTTTGTAATGTTGACTGACTGAAGTATCCTTGAGCTCTGGTTATTGGAGTGCCGTTTGGCGTGTTCCCGATGGGTGTTTGGGTTGTTGGTTCGTGGGTTGTTTGTTCAGCCGGTTTTTCTAGGACTGGGAGTTTCCGTTTTGCGTGTTTCCGGTGGATGGATGGGAGCTTTGTTTGGGTTCTGAGTTCCGGCGATGGTATTTCTCTCTCGCCGGCAGCCGTTGCACCAGGTCGGTGCCGGAGACCAGGTGGGGGGTTGGTGATGAGGAAGTATGCTCTGGTCTCTTTTCCGGCTACTGTCTGGCCGCCTTTCGACGCTCGCCATCAACGCCGTCGGGGGTCGCCGGGGCCTAACGGGGATGGTAGGTGTTAGGAAAGGAACTCGGTTGGGCAGCTTGTTACTTCCGGCTAGGTATTTCAGACTCCTCTCTCCGGCCACCAGACCGTTTGGTGGACGCTGGCGCCAGGTGGGGTGGTTCGGTTGGGGGGGTTGGGTTGGGTTGACTGTCTGACAGTTGGCTGGGATTGGACAGGCTGTGCGGCGCAGAGTACAGGTCACTGTTCATGGTTGACCAATTTTGAATTTCAAATTCAAACGGTGCAGCGTTGTGTGAAAGCCTTACGGCGCATTGGGCTGGACTTGGGCTTCGCTGGACTGCTGCTGAGTTTCGCTGGATTGGGCTTCATAGGTGTGGCTTCTGGGCTGTTATTGGACTGCTGCTTTTTTGTGACTTTGGTGACACTGCTGAGCAGTTACTGGGCCGCTGGAGCAAAGTTAATTTGGAGGATGGGGCTTCATTGCTTCGGATTCCTTGGACTTTGCGTTCGGCGGGCAGATTTCCTTTGATGTTTTTGATATGAGTCGAGGCCTGTCTCGTGCCGTTTTGGACTCTTTCGAAATACTCTCTCCCCCGCCTAACTTCCGCAAAGGGGGGGGGGGGGGGGGGTTGAATGATGGATACTATTTTTAGTTAGATTAGCTAGCTAGATAGTTTTGATACATTGTATTGTGTTATTTTTGGGTGTCTAATAAAATTACCTTTCATACAAAAAAAATGAGGAGGGGTATCTGGAACCACCATATTTGTTTGTTCATTAGTACAAGGCACCGTCTATATCAATTTCGCCGGTCAAAACGGAATTCAAATTGAAGATAGGAGAAAGGGATTTTGAATTGAAGACAGCAGAAAGGTGGAAATCTAGATCTAAATTTTAAAAATTGAAATCTAAGAATATTATTGGGAAGAGTGTGAGTAGGAATTAGTAATATTAATGGATTTTTTGTCATAAAATATCATACTTTCATGATTAGAAATAAAGTACTATCTTCGTCTCAAATTGATTTGCAAAATTGACTTTTCTTAGTCAAACAATTTCACTTTATTCACTTAATTCGGATTTCAATTTTTAATTATATTCTAATTTGAATTTTGCAATTTTGAAGAGATTTTAATGTAGTTTGTGAATATGTAAATTTTGGATAAGCTTTCACTCAGGACTAAGAATAGCTTAGGGCTAGGGCACAAAGGTAGTATGCGTCTGACCAGCGCTAAAACCCTTTCTCAAGATATCTTCCAAGCTATGGGGGGCATTGCTCTGGATTTTGCTCTCCCGGTGTGAAACTAGCTGGTTCTGGAATTTTAGAATTCTGCTGATCCCAAGTACTCCATCTCCATAATTATTAAAAATTGAAATTATTATCAATAAAGATGATTTAACTTTACATTTGTTGACCAAAACAAAGCAATTTGGGACGGAGAGAGTAACATATTCTAAAAGTGGGTTTATTGAGTCCAAAAAGCTTAAAATGGAACATTTGGAGTCCTAAATGTGTGTAGTAGAAGATTAAGAGAGGTGTTAAAAGTGGGAAAGGGGGTTCAGGGTGTTACTAATAGGTGGATTAACAAGGAAAAGAATAAAGGAAAAAAAAAAAAAAAAAAAGAAGTGAGGCGCAGATGTTGCTGCTGGTATGATGTCGTCATCCACGAGCTGTTAAACCTCAAATTTTTAAAACTCTTACTAGTATAATATTTTCACTTGTATTACAAATTTTTCGAAAAATATATCAAAATTAAAAAAAAAATTATGATCTTTCATGTGACATCAATATGATATAGGAAAAATTGAAAATAATAATCCTAACTATTGTCGGTCCGCTAATAATAATCTCAACTATTGATTATTATTGTATAATCCCAACTATATGGACCGTCCGCCAATAATGGTCCATGACCACATATTACCTGCTCTAAAAAGTGAATTTTTAATAGAAATTAAGCGTAAAAATTAAAATTCGGGATTATTTATAGGGATTACCTGCTATATCTCTTTAGAAACTATAGGAATTTATTTATATTCGGCCACCTTGGACCATTATTGGCGGAAGTGCCTTAAAGTTGGGATTATTCTGAAATAATCGATAGTTGGGATTATTATGAGCGGACCGCCAATAGTTGGGATTATTACAATCAATTTTTCCTATTATATACTATCCTTCGTTTTTTTAAGTTGCAACATTCCCTTTTTCACGCTTACCAATGCACAACTTTGACCATCATTATATTTAATTTCTTATTAGTAAAAAAATTAAAAATCAAATTATGAAACTTTGTAATGACTAATGAGATGAATTCAACAATATTTTTCAAAAAAAAAATAATTCACATACATTAATAAATAAAATGTAGTCAAAGTAGTGTACATGAATAGGGTATAAATTTCAATGTTGCAATTAATACGATACGGAGAGAGTATATATAATGTAAAAAAATCTAAAGTCTTAATCGTTAGAGTTTTTCTGGTCTAAAAAAATATGAAACACAAACTTTTAATTTGTAGAGCCTTCATAAATAACCGAATATTACATTAACTCATTTTATTTTTTATTAAAATTGAAAAAAGTAAAAAAAAAAGATTAATGTTTTTTTAGTTTTTAACATCGAAATGTGTACAACAACACCAACAACATCCAAGTCTTAATCTCAGCAGATTTTGGAGTCGGCTTAACATCGAAATGTAATTTAAGAACTTGCAAATTTAAGAACTTGCAAATTTGATCATGTAACTAATAAATCTTTGTAATTTAAGGACTTCCCCACCGGAAAGTACACTTTCCGGCAGAAAAGTCCAACGCCAGCGACATCTTTTCAGGTATGCTATTGCCGGAAAGTGTACTTTTCAAGGGAAAAGTCCTTAAATCGCAAATATTAATTAGTTAGAGGACCGAATTTGCAAATGACTAAAGTTACGGGACCAATAATGATAAAGGTCGAAAGTTACGGGATGAATATTGCAAATTTCCCATAACTTAATTAATATTTTAGTAAATTGATATGTAAAATAAGAAGTTGAGTGTATTTTATTGACGAGTCTAAGGATGTTTTGACTTGGATTGTTTTCAGTTTCAGATCAGACAATACTTAAACAAATCAGACTAAACAAGACTTAAACAGATTAGACCAGACCAAACCAGAATTACACAGACCAGACCAGACTTGATTTCCCTACTTATAAAGTACCAGCAAACGATTAACAGATCAAATTACTCTTTGTGGCCCATCTCTTGACTTCTTCGCCCAGTATCGTACGGCAAATTATACCGTGCAACCGGCGCACCATGAAGATGATGCGCCCGGTTACAAAACGACGCAGCTTGCCCCCCCCCCCCCCCCCCCCTTTTGCTTTTGTTGTTAAAAAATGATAATAACTTTTTTATTTTTGATCCGATTTTTATAAAATTTATATCAACATTTTTTATTTTTCATGATCTTTCAAATGAGACCAATATTGCTTATGTAATTTTAAGAAATTATCGAACTATTATATTAATGAGTATTGGATTACAAGGAAAATTGAATCTGTTTGGGAGATGATAGGTTTGTGAAATAGAAGATCAAATCTGTTTGGGAGTGGATCAGTGGCCTCAGTTACATTTGATAATACATTGAGTTACATCTTTTTATGAGCGAGTTACATCTTTTTATAAGCAAGTTACATCTTTTTAAAAGCGAGTTACATATATATAAACACGAGTTGCATTTGACATGCCTGAACGCGACTTACATATATTTACACGTAAAGTTACATATTTTTACACGTAAAGTTACATATTTATACACGTGAGTTACATATTTATACACACGAGTTGCATTTGACCTATCTGAACGCGAGATACATATTTTTTTACGTAAAGTTACATATTGTTACACGTAGAGATACATATTTATACACACCGAGTTGCATTTGGCCTGACTGAACGTGAGTTACATATTTTAACGCGTAAAGTTACACATTTTACACGCAAATGTTAATATGTTAAAATTACATAGGCAATATTGGTCTCATTTGAAAGATCATGAAAAATAAAAAATGTTGATATAAATTTTATAAAAATTGAATAAAAACTAAAAAAGTTATTACGAATTTTTAAAAACAAAAGAAAAAAAAAATATAAATCCGTACCGGCTCACCGTATACCGGTAGTACGGAGTAATTCGTAACCATCACAAGTCCGTCGACGTCGTTTCCTTTTTCTCCCTCTCAGCGGAGATTATTCTGTGATTGCCCTCAAATAGAAGCAGAAAGAAACGCAGAATTTTCAAGAAAAAAAATCATGGTGAAATCGGTGGAGAATGGTGTATCGGTGGCGCCGTTCCTGCTCAAGTGCTACGAGATGGTGGACGACGAATCAACGGATGCCCTCATTTCCTGGAGTCGAAGTCAACCATCGTCCCGAGATTCCACTAGCGATAGCAGCAGCTTCATAATCTGGGACGTCTCTAACTTCTCCTCTCAATTGCTCCCCAAATATTTCAAGCACTCCAATTTCTCTAGCTTCGTTCGCCAGCTCAATATCTACGTATGTAAGCGCGGGTGTGCTTCACTGGGTGCATCATCTTGAATTCAGATTTTGCTTGATTATTTTCCAATTCGTTTCCGTATTTGAAAATACTTGAAATGATTAAGATTTAAGTCCCTGAATTTGTTCAGTAAGGTTAGATTCTTTGATTTCTTTCCCTGTATTTTATTTTTATCATATTCTTTAAATTTAGGATTTCACATGACTAGTAATTCCGTTGCTCGAATAAATGTTTCTTTGTTTCATTTCCATGTGTTTGGTCATCTTATTGGAATGTCAAGCTCTGTGGTCAAGTAAATGGTTTGATATGAGGATTATAAGTGGAATTAAGGATTTAAGGGTCATTTTAGATGGAGGGTTTTGGAGGGCTATTGTCTTGAAAATTTATCTATACCTCAGATCCAGTAAAGGGTTATTAAAATGTTATAAGAAGTATGATCGCTTAGACGCTTATAATCGTTGTTGTTCCTTCAACTTCTATATCAAGATATAGAGTTATAGACTCAGCTTTTCAAAACCCTCCAAGAACCGCCTTCTAAACTGACCCATGTTTTGATGCTTGAAAGTGCAAGGGAAGGGGAAGAAATGACAGACAGTGATTAGAGTTCTTACTATTAATGTATGTAGTACTATGGTATATACGGAGTATAAATTTACAAAATGAATATTAGCAAATATTTGAAATCAATATATTGCGTTTGAACCACTTATATTTTCCTTCCGAGTCCCTAACACTCTCTTTTCTGACTTAATTATCCTACATTTCCCCCCATTTTCTTTTCATAGCATTATTCAAGTTCCAAGTGGGCACTAAAGAAATTTTGAGCTAATTCAAATTGCTATTAGAGGAGTTCATGTCTCGGTAGGTTAAATCGCTTACCAGGACACCCTTCCACGGCCTGCTCAAGGGTTTCTAAAATCACGTTTTTCTGACTTGTGTTTATGGCTGCGAGCCTGTGAATAGTAAAACAACGTGTCATTGGTTACTGCTTTGTGAATTACTTTGAAATTGTACTCCGTATTAAGTGGTTAATGCCTTAATGGTTCTGGTTTTGAATACTAAATAAGTATCTTATGGGTTATGACTTGTGACATCTGGCTGACTTATTCCATACTATATAGGTATGGATGAAATGATATCTGGCTGACTTTATCTGCATTCTATACTACTTACTGCAAAATGTATATTATTGGTTTTCATTTGAGCATTCATCTGTTGCTCATTATTAAATTCAAAATCCCGCTTCTAAAAAATGTATCCTGCATATAGAGAAAAGACTTCTTACTATTGGCTGAATAAACTCTCCCCACTTGCTTTAGCTCTAAATTAAAAGGAAAAATAAAACCCAAACTGAAAAAGACTAAAGCCATAGCTATGTTTGGATGTCAGGAAATGTAAGGGAAATGAAAAATGCTAAAGAAAATACTATCGTATATATTTTAGGATTTGTTATTCTTTGATAAAAAACATGTATGACAATCAAATATGATTGAAGATTTATACTACATATATGTTTATATTTCTTAGTCTTCATGTAATAGAAATAGTTAATAAGGACTGAAATTTTGATTTGTATGTGTTTATATTTCTTGGTATTTATTGATAGTCCTTTTTTCTTTCTAAAATTCCTGCTTTCCTCTATAAATGAATGCCACTTTTTGCTGTTCCCCTGAAGTCTAATTATGGTTTAGGAGATGATTATTAAATTTGGGTTCATAATGTTTATAATATAAGATGATTTAGTTTGGATTTGATCTTCTGAAGTTTGCAAAATAAATTTGGAGCCTAGGATCAAAACTGCACAACCCAGCCCACAACAATATGGTTTGGTAAAACAACCCCAGTGGTTTGGAACTTTGGATCGGGTTGCATATCAGCTAAACCATGATTACTTGGGTTGGCTTAGGGTTGTGTGCAATACTAACCAAAACCAACCCATGCCCATCCAAAACAAAAGCTATTGATGGTGCAGATATATTTCTTATTGAAATATGTAACCTTTTTTTATATTGTAGAGTAGCAAAAAAATTGGATATAAATTTTCCAAATGAATTGTTTTTATTTAATTTGTGTTTTTGTCTTGTTAACTGGCACAGGGTTTCAGGAAAACCGACACAGATCGTTGGGAGTTCTCAAATGACAAATTCATTAGAGGCCAGAAGCACCTACTGGCAAACATCATTAGAAGAAAAAATGCCCAGAATTTAGTGCCGAAGATTTCCACTCAGCAGCAACAGGAGGAAGAGACAATTCCTTCAACCCCTGAAGAAGACAAGAGCCTCGAATTGTGGAAAGAAGTCGAAACCCTAAAGACGGATAAGAACACACTGATGCAAGAGCTAATTAAGCTCCGGCAACACCAGCAGAACTCACAAAGCAAGCTGTTGCTTATAAGAAAACAGGTCAAGGGTATGGAGAAAAACCAGCAGCAGATGCTCTCTTTCATAGTAATGGCAATTCAAAACCCCGGTTTCTTGGTCCAATTCTTGCATCCGAAAGAAAACAATTGGATCATGTCTGCTCCCGAGACAGGACCAGCGAATGTACATAGTGAAGTCGACGACGGGTGCGGGCTTGCCCCCTCTGGTGGAACGATTGTGAAGTATCAGCCACGTCTGCAACATCATCATCAAGTTGATATTTGCTCCGATGACATTGAAGAAGAAAATAACGACCACTTTACGACTGGTGGGATCATGATGAGAGATGAGGACAGCAAGAAATCAATGGATCTTTTAGATTTTTCTCTACAAGAAGATGATATTAATATTCTTAATGATATATTTGGGAATATAGATTTCTCCACGGGGCCATCCAACAATGAGGGCTTGGACAATGTGGAACCGATTGTAATTTCCGACGTGCGCGATTGGGATGATGATATGCTGGAAATGCTGTTGTCCAGTCCGACCTCAGGGAGAGGAGAAGCTAATGAAAACGGTCAAGGGGGTCAGGAAGAAATTGGAGAGGGTGGAGGCAACTTTGAGTTTGAGGGCGGCATGGATAAGATAACGGAACAAATGGATCTTCTCACAAAGTTTTGATATTGGACTCATGAATCGGGTTCTTTACCTTCTTTCTTGTTAGTAAAGAGCACCATTCCAGTGAAATGACTGCTATACCCGGGGGCTTATGTGGGAATTTTTGTAAAGGTTCAATCTCATACTACTCCTATTACACAAGTAACCACATTATGAATTCACGAGTAACTCATACTATTCCCTACGTCCCAAATAAATTTGGATTTTACAATTGACTACGATAAAGCTAAACCTTCTCTACATATAATTAAATCAATTTTAATAATTAAAATTAATTTATATAATCTGGAACGACGTGGAAAGTTATGTAAGTTACAAAGTCCAAATTATAGTACGTAGTATATTACTACGTAGAATATTGATATCCTAAATAACATAACAAAATCAACGGTGTTGATGTTAGAAAAATACTACGTATATTCTAAAATCAACTATAAGTACTGAATTACTCAATCAACAAAATCAATAATTATCTTATCATTTCCTTGAAGAGATTTTTTTTCATAGTTGATGTAGTTGCACTTTCTCAGAAACAAAACAATATAATTTGTACTTTATTAAGAATTATATTAATAGAAAATAAGGAACCGTGCGATTAGTTTGAAATAATATACTACGTAGCTTACAAATGCACAAGTATACATGGAAAGATCACTTAGATGTCAATTGTCAAATTATGTGTTGACAAAGATGTACTTAAACAAACCGTGCGATTAGTTTGAAATAATTTAGGCTACAATTTCTTATTATGGGTTGCCAAAGATGTACTTTATGTTGTTATACCCGGGAGCAACCCATGGTAAGCACGGTGCTTCCACACTTAAAACAAGCGAGGGAGGATGTAGCTCGCGTATAAAGAAATGTAACGCATGTTGATAGAAAATGTGATGTAACTCGTGTTATGGAAAATGTAACTCGCATAAATGTAACTTGTTAAGGCAAGTTCAAATGTAATTGGCGCATAGAAAGATGTAAATCACGCATAAAAAGATGTTACTACATGTACTTATCAAATGTAACAATGAAACAAGGAGTCTAATTGTTCACTTACTTTACGTAAATAGTGAATATGTTTCGTTTTTAGTATTAAGGCAAAAAAAAGTTTTAAAATCGTTTTTTTGCCAAAAAAAACGTTTTTTTTTGGCAAAAAAAGGAATTTTCTGTGTCAATAGCAATGTTTATTTTGTGATGGAACTCGTGGTATGGAAAATGTAACTCACGTACACGATGAAAAATCTAACTTAGTTGTATGCAAAATGTAACTTATTGAGGCAAGTCCAACTTGCGCATAAGATGTAACTCACATATAAAAAGTTGTAACTTCACGCACAAGAAGATATAACTCCATATACTATCAAATTCAAGTCCATATATTGTTTATAAATATAACTCACACATGTGGAAATGTAAGAGTTTTTTTCCGGATTAATGTTAATTAATTAAATAATTACGGAATTAATGCTGGGTTAAAACTATTTACCAATATACTGTTGAGCTTAACTCTGGTCGGGGAAAGTCACCAAACCGTTTGGCGACTTTCCCCCTGCACCTGTAAAACCAGAATCTTCAGAAAACAGATGAAAACATAACACATTTTCACAATCCTGGTCAGAAACACTGAACAAAAACGAAAGCCTAAAAAAATTCAACACATTTGCATAACCCCACACATAAACACATAAAAACAAACGATTAAATAACTAAAATTCAATAGGTTGCAGGTGGACATACGCCATAAAGTGTTTTACATATTTTAAAAAAACTACAAATTCGGGCTACATGAATAAGTACAATAATAGAGACAGACTACAAGTTTTGAAGGTCTTCTTGGTCGTCCTGGTCATGGAGGTGTTGTTGTTGACGCATACGCCTACACCGCTGACGTGGCTGAAGAACAACCCTGTCATGCTGAGTCTGGGATGTAGAAGGTGTTGTTGTAGATGTCGATGGCGTAGAATCCTGAGAGGGGGTCATATGTATAAGATGGCCATGGTTCACTCGCCCCTACACATCTGAGCACAAGGAAGCAATGCCCATTAGAACCTGATGGTACGTGTCCACGTCATGCGTCTCACTAACTACGACTGTCGCTCGCTCATGTATATGCTGCAAAGCCCGTGTCTGAAATGTGAAAAATGAAATATAATTATTTTGAAATAAATTAAAAATGTTAAATAACGAACATGAATTACTTTAATAATTATGAGCACACTCACCGTCAAGTGCAAAGGAATGGAACTAGGCTGATAATGGTGAGTAGAGAGTCTGAGAGATGGAGATACAAACACCCGTGTGATGTTGTAATACCATCTCATATAGTCTATAGAAACAGTTGGGACAAATGTCGGCGTCCCAGTCACAACCATCTCCGCTCGCCTATCCCATATAGCCGAAATGGAAGCTCCCATAAGCATCAAAATGTATGCTCGTGCATGCTGCTGAATCATCACCTCATCAGCGTCCAGATGAAGAACAACGAAATGCTCCCTCAACCATGACATCTTCAGAGATGACCCATAAATCTCTGTCGGAAGAAGTGGGCGAACACCCAACAAGCGCTCAACATCCTCAACTCATGCCCGACACGCAGTACCTGTAACTGCTTTCCCATGGACCTGTAACCCCGTTAATACAGCCACATCCCCTAAGGTCACTGTCACTTCACCAACTCGGAGGTGAAATGTGTGTTCTCCTACCTCCAACGCTCAAAAAGAGCAGTGAGTAGAGCTCTTTTAAGTGGGACAGTAGCCACCAATCCGTGAACACCATAAAAACATGTTGCTCTAACATATGCTTTTTTTTACTCCAGGGGCGTCTGGGGAGGGGGGCTGGGGGAGCCTGGAGTAATCAGGGCTGAATCTCACTCCATTGAGTTTCACACCCTTTTTTACCCCAGGGAGCGTCTGGGGAAGGGGGATGGGGGAGCCTGGAGTAAGCTCTAACATATGTTAATACTCTATCATCCACCTGCACGTGGGACAAACTATGGAGACGCTCTCGGCACCTATCAACCTGCACATCGAGGCCATGCCACACATTCTCAGTCATATGCGTGGCCTGCAATGTCAAGACAAATTGATCACTCGGCCCTGGATCCACCGACAACTCCATGGAACGTGGGCGACTCAAGGGAGTGCGTGGTGCGTGGCCAGGCTTGAGCCCGGGGCGTGGCTGTCCTTGGGCAGTCACGACTATTGGGAGTTCAGTGGCAACGAGGGTTGATTGGCCGATTGACAAGTGGAACTTGGGCAAGCTGGGCGCAAGGAAACAAGGGTTGGTTGGCCGTTTGACAAGTGGGACTTGGGCAAGCTGAGCGCAAGGCAACGAGGGTTGGTCACGAGCTCAAGGGAAAGAGTTGACTCATCAGTGGTCTGGGTTAGGCTGCGGCATGAGGGCAAGCTCGAAGGGTTGTGTCGGTTCGGTGCTGGCATGGCTCGAGTCTGCAAGGGGGCATGGCATTGGCGAACGGGTGCCTTGGGGCGAACCGGTGGCAAGGTAGTTGAGGGCTTCGGGCGAACAGGTGCTTTGGGCGAACGGATGGAGGTAGTAAGTTTTTTATCTGTGTGAAGGTCAAACTAGGACAATTATTTCGGGACGGAGGTAGTAAGTTTTTTAACAAAAAAATATATCAAAATATCACATTTAAATTCACATTACACAAAAAATGCACAACAAAATCCAAAAATTGCATTGAATTCAAGATTAAATTCAGCATTTCATACATATTCACATTTCACAACAAATCAATTCACAAATGAATTCCTAATTTACAAATTTGAAAATTATCGATTGCAAACCCTAAGTTCAAAAATGAGATGAAGTTGGGGATTTGATTTACCTAGAGTTGAAGAGGTTGAATAAGATGGTTGAGGAGTATCCTTTATAGGTGGAATAGCCTTCTAGTCGCTGTAGTCATCGAATTTGGCTGCTGAAATCGATCTTTGCCGAAGTTGTTTTGGTTACTGCACTCGTTCTTTCTGTCTAAAGTCATCCTGCGAAGTTTATGTGCAAGGAGAAAGTCGCCAAACGGTTTGACGACTTATAAGTCGCCATCCGATTTGGCGACTTTCTCCGACCTGAGTTAAGCCCAGCAGTATATTGGTAAATAGTTTTAACCCAACATTAATTCCATAATTATTTAATTAATTAACATTAATCCGGAAAAAACTCGAATCGTAAACCACATATATGAAAATGTAATATAATATTTTATCAAATGTAAATCGAAATAAACAAGTTTATTATCTTAAAAACACTAAAATATATAAACGAGAGAATAAATACGATAGTATATTATAGGAAAAAGTGTACGAATATGAAAAAATATATTACAAAAAGTTTTTAAATATGAAAAAATATTACATAAAAAATATAGGGTAAAGTACGGAAAAAATACTTGTGGTTGGGCCCGTTCTCAGATAGAGTCATATATTTCATATTTTATCAAAGTGATTCATGTGTTTGAATTCCATTATCGCAAGGGGTCACACACTCACACACTCACACCGTTAAAAACGCATGAGGAAGATGGTGAATGGTAACTCCAATTTTCAAAAAAGCTCGCAAAATTAAAATAAAAATACCGAAAGGTGCGCCTCGTCAAGATGACCTCCAAACCACCTTCATCTTGGAATTTTTCAGATCTGTTTGGATTATTTTTTTATAAAATGAATTCGCTAATATTACTTTTCTGGTAGACTTTTCGATGACAAGGGTGACTGCAAACGAAAAAGAAAGATGGCGTAGCAGTCGTCTTGTTGAGGTTCACCTTTCGGTATTTTTCTTTTAATTTTCTGGACACTTTTGAAAATCGGAGTTACTGTCCATCGTCTTCCTCAGGCAAATTTTAACGGCTTCAGGTGCCAGGTCCTATTGTGATAAGCGGAATTCAAACACATGAACCACTTTGATAAAAAATGAAATACATTACCCTATCTGAAAATGGGTCCAACCACAAGTACCTTTTTCGTACTTTTCCCAAAAATATATTCGATTGTAATAAAATTTTGAAATACAACATATTTATTTTATTGGATTAATAAAAAAAGTAAAAAAAGATAGTGTATGAAGATGAAATACAATATACTTATTTTATGTGGATTAATAAATTTTGTAATTGTTGAAGGTAAGTCCCGTAGATCCGAAAGCCCAACACGAACTTTGGATATATTAGGAATGGTCCAGAATCAAAGTGTATAACCAAATATAAAATATGAACTC